TGTAGAAGGTGCACATGATGGGGGCCGGGGCTCTGGCTCTTCTCAGTTTGCGAAGGAAGTAGAGACGCTGCTGTGCTTTCTTGGCCAGTGCTGCGGTGTTGTCAGTCCTGGAGAGGTCCTCTGTGATGTGCGCACCCAGGAACTTAGTGCTGCTCACCCTCTCCACAGTCGCACCGTTGATGGTCAGAGGAACATGTTGAGTGTGCACTCTCCTGAAGTCAACAACAATCTCCTTCGTCTTCTCCACATTCAGAGAGAGATTGTTGTCACTGCACCACCTGGCCAGGCGGCTCTCCTCGCTCACCTCACTCCTGTAGTATTGAGAATACTCATAAGCTGCGTGTTAACACAAGACAAGACAGCACGCAGCCAGCGAAAACCAAGCTGCGTGCTACACAGCACAAGACAAAACAGGACATGAAAGCACGCAGCCAATAACACGAGCTGCGTGCAACAACACAAGACAACAAGAAAAGCACACGGCCGAACACAAACCGTGTGCTATACAAAACACAACACACGTGGACAGAAGAGCGCACGACTGAACGAACTCGAGACCTCACGCTCCCACAACAAAACATGGAGCGCAAGTGTCCGGACCCCGACACGAAACTGAAACTCAACAAGACATGAGTGCCGGGATCCGAACACCACACTCCAACATAAAACAGGACACGCAGACGAGAGCGCACGGCTTGAGCACTCTTGAAGCTGCGCGCTCACACGAAAACAAAGACATGACGGGAGTGTCAGGGCTCTGTCACAAAACCATGAATAACGCTGCAGCCTCATCAGGCAATGCTTGGGGCGCAGCTGCTGCATCTTCGGCTGCCTCTGGGGGCGCTGCAGCAGGCCCATTCTTCCTCCTTCTCCAGACTTCGCTTGGGGTGGGGGTTCCAGCTCCCCACGATGGTAGACGTAGTCCCAGAAGCCAAGATTCCCCAGCTTCTCCATCTCCCACAGGCTGAGAGGCTGATCGAGGCAGATGTTGATGACTTCCTTAATATCAGCCTCACTATAGTCCAGATTGTCCACCTCAGTGAGGAAGTCACAGGCAAAGTCCCTCACGTCAGCCCCCTGCTGACAGAAGTAGTGAGCATTTACTTGCTGGACCATTAGCTGGTGGGTGGACAATCCGGTGGTGGGAGATGGAAAAAGGAAGATCCCATCTCTGCTGAGTCCTCTTCTGGCCAGTTCGTACTGTCAGAGTAGGGGATGAAGGGATGAGGCGTGTACTCAGTTCTGCAGTAAATTGGCTTTTATTGATAAAAATAAACAAAAGAGCAACAAAAACTACCCCGTGGGGGAAAAACAGGCAGGCAAGGCAAGGTGATACGATAACGAACTGGCACGGAACTACAAACACAAGGAGAATAAATAGGGAGCAAATGAGGGTAACGAGGGAACACAGGTGAGGTGAGGCAAATTAACCAATAATCAGGTAACAAGAAGAGAGCACATGGCACAGATCAAACAAAGACAGAAGCCATGTGCTCACACAAAACAAGACACGAAAACGCAGCTAATATGAATACTCATAAGCCGCTTGTTCACACAAGACAAGACAGCACGCAGCCAGAGAAAACCAAGCTGCGTGCTACACAGCACAAGACAAAACAGGACATGAAAGCACGCAGCCGATAACACGAGCTGCATGCAACAACAACACAAGACAACGAGAGCACATGGCCGAACACGAACCGCGTGCTACACAAGATACAACACACGCAGACAGAAGAGCACACAGCCTGAGCGAACTCGAGACCGCACGCTCCCACAACAAGACAGCACATGGAGCGCAAGTTTCCAGGCCCCGACACGAAACCGAAACTCAACAAGACATGAGTGCCGGCGTTCGAACATGACACTCCAACATGAAACAGGACACGCAGACAAGAGCGGCTCGAGCACTTCCGAAGCCACGCGCTCATACAAAAACAATGACATGACGGGAGTGTCAGGGCTCTGTCACAAAACCATGAATAACACTAGACCGAAGTGACAGAACCCCGATAAAAATCTACCAATAGGTATGTCAAAAGATTATAAATGATTTCTATAATCTTTTTTTTTTTTCAAGAAAACTTGAGCAAATATTGCGTTAAATAAATGTTTGTTTTACCAAATCTGGTTAAATCTGATTTTCTGCTCTGATTTTTAACCTGCCCCTCTCGGATGATTGACAGCAGCAGGAACCAATCAGCGTCTCCTGTGAAAGATAGGGGTAAGTGCAACTGGACGGTAGTCATTGAAGCAGGATGGAGACGACTACTTTGGGACTGGAATGATGGTGGTAGCTTTGAAGCGTGTGGGGACAACAGCCTGACTTAGCGAGATGTTGAAAATGTCTGTGAAGACAATACGTACAAAAACACTGCGACTCACAAGATAAAAAACACGAAAACACCGTTCTTTCGGGAGAGAGAGAAGCCGCAGCGTGTGCATCGCTCAATCTTGGTGTAATGGGACCATGATTTGGGCACTACAAGTCCCAGCAGCCCCTGCGTTATATAAAGAAGTAGTGAAGTTTGTTTGCTCTTTCGCTTCCGCTTTTGATTTCGGGGATATCGTGGCAGATTTAGAAGTTGAAAAGAATGGTAGGTAATGAGATTTGTTTGTGAGAGGTGCTCTCTCACTTCTTCGCTAATTTTATTGAGTGCATTCAGTGTATGCATTGATGTTGTGGCAGATATAGCACTTCAAAAGAATGGCAGCAGATAAGCAGTTACGTTAAATAATCCCGGAGCTTCGTCGTGAACTGAACATATGATGCACCGATTAAGGAGGTAGTAGCTTTGTAGTATTGATGACCTAGTTCTTAGGAGTTTGTTTTAATTATATTATTCTCTTTGTTTTTAGTGTTGTGGCTGGATTATTGCCTGACTGATGGTTGCCTGACTGTCCCTGTCAGGGAATAGGCTGGATTCAGGTGCGGGTTCAACAGAGACTTTATTGTACAGAGAATTAACACCACGGGCAATGAGCGCCTCCGCGGATAGTTCGTGCGGACGTGGAATCCCCAACCACACAGAGGGGTGGACAGCAGGGGCTAGAACAAGCCGCAACAGCGGCGGTGGAGACGAAGCCGGAGGGGCAGCTCGCTAATCCGAGTGAGAGGCTGAGCAGCCCAACAACGAGACCGCAGAGTCCCAGGGTAGGCGGATGCCGGAGGAAGCCCACGGGTTCCTGAACGCACAGCGAGGTGCGGGAAAATAAATAAGCAGCTACGAGCACTGGAGCCTGGATGAAACAAGACAGGACTGGTAAGCGATACTAACACTGACAGTCAGAGCAAGGGAATAATCACAACAATCTGACAAAAGACAGAGAAACACGAGGAGCTATAAGGGGAAGCTAATGAGAT